TGTCTTTGCCATATTTAGCAGAATAAATCCTTCCTTCACACAGTCTTCGTATAGCTTCCACCCTTTCTGCCTTTCATAGCTGAATTTCTTGAGAAATCATATTTTATTATTTTTCAGTCACTATATTTTGACTCAGCGACTCTATTATTTTTTTTTCTTTTTTTTTTAAATTTTTATTTATTTATGATAGTCACACTGAGAGAGAGAGAGAGGCAGAGACACAGGCAGAGAGAGAAGCAGGCTCCATGCACCGGAAGCCCGACGTGGGATTCGATCCCGGATCTCCAGGATTGCGCCCTGGGCCAAAGGCAGGCGCCAAACCGCTGTGCCACCCAGGGATCCCAGTGACTCTATTATTTCAATGAAACTCTTGTCCCCTATGTCACCACGAGTCTCCTAATGGCTGAATCCAATGGTCTTTACTTAATTCATCATTCTTAGTTTACCTCTCTGTTACATTGAAGCTATTGACCACACCATTTTGAAATTCTGTTTTCTTGACTTATATGATTCTGCTTTACTAATTTTTCTTATATCTTAGTTTCTTGCTTCACAGACTTTCTCAAAATTACTTGTAAAAAATCCAGACCTCCTGAGCAGTTAAAAAATAATCTTGGAAAATTTTCAGACTTTCCAAAGTGTTGCAAAAATACTATAGTGAACACCAGTTAAGTTTGCCATATTTACTTTGCCCCTCACTTTCTCCATCCCTTCCATGTATATGTATATTTATGTATATTCACAATTTTTATTCTTTTGCCATACAATTCGAAAGTTAATTGTAGATATAGTATCTTACCCTTATTTTCTTTAGTTTGTATCTCTTAAGAGTAAGGGCATTTTCATATATAACCACAGTGTGATTATCACATTTGGGAAACTTAACATTGATAAACAGTGTTTTTTTTTGTCTTTCATGACAGTTACATTTTTTAAAAAAATATTTATTTATTCATGAGAGACACAGAGAGAGAAGCAGAGACACAGGCAGAGGAAGAAGCAGGCTCCATGCAAGGAGCCCAACACGGGACTCGATCCTGGATCTCCAGGATCACACCCCAGGCTGCATGCAGGTGGCGCTAAACTGCTGCGCCACCAGGGCTGCCCAACAGTTACATTTTTTGAGGAGCTCAGGCCAGTAGTTTTGCAGAATACTCCTTAATACACCTACATTTTAAATTTAGGTTAAATACTTTTTGCAGGAGTATTATGTCCTCAGTGTATGGGCTCAGGAAGCACATTGTGTTATTCTATCCCATTATTTTGTGAGATTGAGTTATCACTTGGTTATGGTGATATCTGACAGACTTTTCCATTGTATAGATACCTTTTTCCCTTTGAAATTAAAAGCATTTGTGGCATAATAGGGATATGCATACTCTAGCCTAATAATCTTTTACCCAATGGTTTTATCATCTGTTGTTTTCTTATCTAAATCAGATATTACTATGGTGATTATAAAATGGAGACTTTACTATTTTTATCATTTTGTTTCTATATTGTCATTCTTCTATAAAGAACTTTTAATACTTTTTTTTTTAATTTAATTTTTTTAAAGATTTTATTTATTCATGAGAGACACACAGAGAGAGAGACAGAGACACAGGTAGAGGGAGAAGCAGGGAGATGTGAGACTCAATCCTGAACCCCAGGATCATGCCCTGAGCTGAAGGCAGATGCTCAACCACTGAGCCACCCAGGTGTTCCTAAATTTAATTTTTTTTAAATTTTTTATTTTATTATTTATGATAGTCACAGAGAGAGAGAGAGGCAGAGACACAGGCAGAGGGAGAAGCAGGCTCCATGCACCGGAAGCCCGATGTGGGATTCGATCCCGGGTCTCCAGGATCGCGCCCTGGGCCAAAGGCAGGTGCCAAACCGCTGCGCCACCCAGGGATCCCCTAAATTTAATTTTTTAAGAGTCAGTATGGACTTTCTTTTTTTTTTTTTTTTTCAGAATAGTATCTATTTCTTTCATTATTCATTTTTGTTCTCACATTATCCCAAATTTTGCTAGAGTGAGCTCTATTAAGATGTCTTCTTTGTCCTTTTGACGTGTCCTTGGTGATTTTTGAGTACTTCCTGGTATAATAGAGTGCTTCAGATTTACCTTACACTTTACCAGACCCTGGCTTAGAACCATCTTTTTTTTCTCTAGGGAACCCTGGTTTCTTTTTCTTTTTTTTTTTATTCATGATAGGCACACACAGTGAGAGAGAGAGAGGCAGAGACATAGGCAGAGGGAGAGGAAGAAGCAGGCTCCATGCACCGGGAGCCTGACGTGGGATCCGATCCCGGGTCTCCAGGATTGCGCCCTGGGCCAAAGGCAGGCGCTAAACCGCTGCACCACCCAGGGATCCCTGAACCCTGGTTTCTTTTGGTGGAGAAACCAAGATCTGGGTGCCAGCTATGTTTCTTACTACTAAAGTGCCATTGTTTATGGCTCTTTCAGTGGGTAGGGCTAGGAGGTTTTTTTTTTTTTAATTTTTATTTATTTATTCATTAGAGACACAGAGAAAGGCAGAGACACAGGTAGAGGGAGAAGGCTCCCTGCAGGGAGCCTGATGTGGGACCCAATCCCGGGACCCCGGGTTCATGCCCTAAGCCAAAGGCAGACGCTCAACCGCTGAGCCACCCAGGCGTCCCTGTTTTGTTATAACTATGGCTTCATATTGATATCCCTAATTCCAGTCTAGTTCCATATGGCTTTTCTTCTCTCAGTCCATGTTTACATCTCTGGTTTTCCACAGTGAGAAACCTGGTAGCAACATTGATAAATTGACTCCTTTGCTCAGTTGTACAATATATGCATAATAGCTTGAAAATTACAATATCAACACTACTAGCAAGTACAAACCTACTAAGTGTGCAGTTTCTTTGCAATTTTTGTTATGCTTAAATATATGTCAGTAAGAATGTGCAGTTTAAAGTTATTTAAATGTCTTTTTTCTCCTGTAGTAAAATTATCAGGGTAATACTCAATTACATTTATGTATTTCTGTTGTGTTCAGTTTTATTTCTTTCCTATCCTTGTTGACTTAATTTTAATTTTGGAATGTATAAAACATTAACGTGGTTCAGAATTCAAAAACCTCCCTTTTGTAACCAAAATAATTTTTGATTTAGGTAAGAGAGAAAAATGAATGCTAAAATCATTGAGATTTTACTTAGGTGTACTCAGAAGTCTAGTCCCATTACTTTTCTTATCTTTCCACTGTCATTAGCTTTTGGTTTATCTCAGTTGCATTAATTATTGAAGATATGAGGAGTTACAGATACATATTCCCCCTTTTTTACACAAAAGATAGTTTACTGTGATACTGCTATGCCATATATATATATATATATATATATGCTGTTTTGTACCTTGCTTTAGAGACATTTACCATTCTTTTTATAGCTTTTTTTGCACATTAGGTAGTCCATAGGTTTTCAGCAAAAGTTTTATGCATGGGCATTAAGGTTGTTTCTAACGTTTTATTTTTACAAATAATATTGCAACTAATAATCTTGTGTGTATGCTTTTTCATGTTACTGGAGATATGCCAGAACTTAGTCCGAGAATTTAGACTTACCATGTCCAAAACAATACATCATTTTCCCAAAAGATTTTCTTTTTTTTTTTTTTTTTTTTTTTTTTTTTTTAATTTTTATTTATTTATGATAGTCACAGAGAGAGAGAGAGGCAGAGACACAGGCAGAGGGAGAAGCAGGCTCCATGCACCGGGAGCCCGACGTGGGATTCGATCCCGGGTCTCCAGGATCGCGCCCTGGGCCAAAGGCAGGCGCCAAACCTCTGCGCCACCCAGGGATCCCCCCAAAAGATTTTCTTAACTTCCATTGTCTGTTATTGAATGATAACTAACCATTATCCTATTACTTACAAAGAAACCACGGTATCATCATTTCTTCTCAACCTCATCAGGAAGTGCTGATGACACATCTTTATCTTTCCTTTTTTTTCCCACCTTCATTTTTCTTTTCCTTTTTTTTTTCTTTAGAGAGTGGGGGTAGGGAAGCGCAGTGGGAGAGGGAGAGAGAGAATCTTAAGCAGGCTCCATGCCCAGTGTGGAGCCCAGTGGAGGGCTCAGTCTCACAACCCTGAGATCATGACCTGAGCTGAAATCAAGAGTCAGATGCTTGACGAGTCGACTGAGCTACAAGGTACCCCCCAGCTTCATTTCCTTAGTTAGAGATCTCACTTTACTTGGTTTACTGTACTGGCTTCCTAACTGGTCTCATTTCTTCCCTGAAACTCCACACTGTTACTAAAACTGTCTGTCTTCAAGCCAAGGATTATTAATTTCTGGAACCTCAACATTTTTCTTCTGCCTCTAAGATAAGATTCAGATGCTTTTGCCTAGATACCTAGGCCTACCATTCCCTGGTCTCCACCTACATCTCCAGCCTAATCTCTAGCCACTTCCAACCATACTGAACTACTTATAGATTCCCTAGACATGTCCTGTCAAGCACTGGAAATGCTTTTTTTTTTTTACCCTCTACATTTCATTTTAATAATTTTTCATAATACAGCTTAGGTATTGCCACCTCCAGGAACACTTCTTGCCAGGTCAGATGCAGTTCCTGTGTTATCCTATAGCACCTTGTGCTTTATCTACATTGACTTCTCTCTTTTCCCTGAGACTTCATACTCCTGTAGGCTGGAGACTTCTGTTAGTTCTTCCTTCTTATTACAGAGCCTGTAGCATAGTAGACATTGAACAGTTAGTGAATATATGAATAAACTTCATCTGTTTACATTTTTTAAAAAGGTATCTATCTTTAGGTTGTCATTTACATGATCCCTGCAAAAAATCCAAAGAGTGCAGATATATATATGAGAAGTGAATGTCTTCCATTACTCCTATCTCAGTCTCTAGTGGAAACTATGATTAGTAGTTTAATATTGGCAAGGGAAGCACAAAATAGATTTTCCAGTTACTATAGAATAAAAATGTCTACTGTTTTGTTCTTATAGATCATCTCTTTTCCTTTAGGCAATGATAGTAAGAAATGCTAAAGATACAGCTCATACAAAAGCAGAACGGAATATTCTGGAGGAAGTAAAGCATCCCTTCATTGTGGATTTAATTTATGCCTTTCAGACCGGTGGAAAACTCTACCTCATCCTTGAGTATCTCAGCGGTCAGTACACTCAGTTTGGTGTAATTATTTGCATTTGCTCCAGAAACTGGGTCAAACAATATTTTCCAATGGAAAAATGCTTTTTCCCCAATGTGATTAAATAGTTCTTAAAATTGATAAATATATGACATAAGGAATTCAGATGTGACCATATGTTTCTTTTTGCAGACAAATACGAAGGAAACTTTAAAGGTTAAATTTTTCCCCCATCTGTAAACTTTTACTTTAATCCTAATTCCCTTGTAATCAGTTACTTAAAATAAGAAACACCTAATTGATACATAGCCATCACGTTGACTGTACTCGGGTAAGATACTATAATTTAAATGAATCACCAAAGCATTTCTTTCTAAACTCAAATGAAAAACTTAGAGTATTTAAGATAATGAGTATTTTTAGAATTGCATCTCTAAACAGAGTAATTTTTTGGTTGAATGTAACCTTTTTGATAGACCAAGGAGTTTACATAGGAAGACATCCACAATTTCCAGGGCTTACTACCTCCTTGAAACTTGTTGCTTCTTAACATTTCTAGACCACAGGTATCTATTTCCAGCCAACATGTTTGAGTTTTCTGAAAAATAGGTTTCACAATGGCCTGTAACATGGAACAGAAAGCTGTAGAATTTAGCAACTGTTTTCTGACTGTTGCCATTTTTTGGGTAACTTTATTTTGAATAATTTCAGATTTACACAGAAAAGTTATAGAAATAGTACAAAGACTTCCCACATACCCTTCATCTAGATTCCCCAAGTGTTACCATTTTACCACAGTTGTTTTGCTTCATCCTTCTTTTCTCTCCCTCTCTATGTATGTGTATACATGTATATGTGTATGTATGTATATACACGTATATGTTTATACATACTTCTTTTTTATCCTGGATTACTTAAGAGAGTGTTGCAGACATGATTTCCCCTTACCCCTAAATACTTCAGTGTATGTTGTCTAAAATCAATGATAGTATCTTAATTCTACTAAAATTATCAAAAACAGGAAATTAACATTGATAAAGTAATATCTCTCAGTTTCCTTTAATCTGGAACAGTTCCTCAGTCTTTCTTTGTCTTTTATGACCTTGACATTTTCGAAGAGTATGGCCAGTTATTTTGTAGAATGCATCAGTTGGGCTTATCTGATGTTTCCTCAGGATTAGATTTAGGTTATGCATTTGGGGAGGACCATCGAAGTGACATTGTGTCCTTCTCTGTTGGATCAGGAGGTACAGGATGTTTATATCTTTATCCCATTACTGTTGATGTTCACTTTGATCACATTTATAAGGTGGTGTCTGCCAGTTTTTTCCCCTGGTGAAGTTTTCCTTTGTAATGAATAAGTATCTTGAGATACTTTGGGATTATTTAAATATCTTGTCTCTCATCAAGCTTTCACATACAGTTTTAGCATTCATTGATTCTTGCTTGAAACAATTAACTATGATGATTGCCAAGTGATTTTTCTTATTCCATTGTGCCTCATTCATTTATTATTTGGCATTCTACTGTAACAAAGAGCTTTCCCTTCTCTCCCATTTTAAAACTTAATTTACTGATCTCTTCATTGATTTCCATCATTGTGGACTCATGGATTCTGAGATTATTCAGTGGGATATAATTCCTTATTAATATTATTGATTTTTATATTCAAAATAATGCCATGCTTTTAACAAAGCCACTGCTAGGTTCCTCTAGATTAAGATATCTGAAAATATGAAATAAGGGCATTCACTAATTTTAATTTGTAAGGGTGGTTTAATTATATGCTAACATTTTTCTGTGTAGGATAAAATGTGAGAGAAATTTTAACCAAGATTATTTTTTTAACATCAGGTCTGAAATCTATAACTATTTTGAAGTTCAAAGATGTAAAAACCTGGAATTCCAAAACTTACATATTTCACATATGAATAGGAACACTGCTAAAAATAGAATCCTGAAGACCTAGTTTTAAACCTAGAGTTTTTAAGATTTTTTTTTATTTTTAATGGACTGATATCTTTTAACTGTGGTTAAAAGGAAAACACAGACCTCTCATTAGAAATGGATTGGAAATGAAGATTGTTTTATTTCTAATGTCTTTTCCTTTTCTTTACAGGAGGAGAATTATTTATGCAGTTAGAAAGAGAGGGAATATTTATGGAAGACACAGCCTGGTAAGTGAAATTTTTTGGTTGCCTGGATTCAGGTAATTGATTCATATAATTAAAAGCAAAGCCCTCTCCCCACTTTGGGCAGCTAAATGATTCAATAAATTGTTCTGGAACCAGTCACTCAGGACTTCAAGGGGGAGAAGCTCTTTGGGATGGGGCAGCTTTTGGAGGTCACATCATTCCTTTGCCCCCAGGCCTTGGGTGGAACGCTCTTCACCAGGAACGCCAGTTCCTAACAGAACCATTCTCACTGGGGCTTTCTTTCCTTGAATTGGTAAGCTGCCTGCCTTGGCTGTGGGTGAGTGTGGTTTTCCGGTGAAACTTTATGTCTGGAACAATGGAAAGTATCAGAAATCATCTCCTCTTTTTTTTTAGACTTTCCAGTTCCCAAGGTGCAGTCTTAGGGAGGTGATAAGCCGGCACACATCATCTGTGGATTGATTCTATGGCCAGGATGGGATCTACCCTTATATTTCTTAAGATGGCATCTGCTTCAAATTAAAAATATACACATCCTTTTGTGAGATGACAGTATTGGGTAACAATAAATCAGTTTATCCTACACATTAATTGAATAGAAAACACTTAAATGTTTTTTCTACCTTAATTACCAAACTGCATTCCATTGTTTAATTTCAGGCCTTTTCTAACACAGAAGCTGCATTTAAGAGCCTTAGGGATGAAGTGCCCTTTTTTGGAGGAGGCTCTCTGAGCCCTGTTGGAGGCTGTATTTGTGGTCCTGCTGGCTGTGAAACTGCCTCAGTCCTCTAGGACACACCCTCTCCATCCTGGAGTAATCTGCAGGATTGCAACATTGTTATGCAGCCAGTATTGCAGTACCTTGTGCTTTTCGAATCCAGACAGGGTTGACTCAGCCCTTTATTCTTTTGAGGTAGATAAATTTGAGTGTCACACAGTTTATAGTTGTGGGCTGGCTGGCAAGAGGGAGGGCAGATACTGTGGGCATGAACTGTATATATGCAGCTATATTAAGGGATGAGCGGGCTTCTAAGGGTCAGGTTATTTATAAGGTATCTTTTGAAACTAAGACTTGATCTCTGAGAATAACGAAGTTCCTATGTCCTGTGGGAGTTTAAAAATGGGGGTGGGTGGGAGAAATTTGCTTTGCTCTGAATGACTATTGGCCTAATTCCTATATAGACAGAACAAAAACCAGTGGTAGTTTGGCATATTCTGGACTTCTTTGCAATTACCAGTATGTTCTGATGGTGAAATAAAACATTTTATAGTTTCACTAAATAAGTGAAACATAAATGTCTTCACGCCTTTTGGCAGCATCTTATGCCATCTCTCTCCCCCATCCCCACCCCCATCCCCACTAATTTGGTCTTTGGTGCATGTCTATTTCTTTCAAGGAATTTTGCTCCATACATAAACTGCTTTGAGTATATTACTCTTTTTAATTTTATTAAATCACTTTTGTTTCCAGCTTTTACTTGGCAGAAATCTCCATGGCTTTGGGGCATTTACATCAAAAGGGGATCATCTACAGAGACCTGAAGCCGGAGAATATCATGCTTAATCACCAAGGTGGAGATATATACTGTATACAATTTTATAGTAGATAATCATCTTAAAATCCTCCCACACAGGTCATGATCATTTTCAAAGCCCCATAGTCATGTATCTATTATTATACATTCTTCCTTCAGAACTTATGGCATCATAATACTTGCTGAGATTTAGGTATTTAGATATTTATGATTGATGAGATTAAAGGGAGTTAGGAATAACCGTGCACTCAGCTGTGTTTTTCGGTTTAATCCTTGCTCTTTATAGCTTGTCATTCTTTTGAAATCTTTACATAATATCTGGTAAGCCAAAAGCCAGTCCAAACTTTAATTTTGGTTTGTTCCTTAAATTGGAAAGTAAATCTTAACCCTATACATTGAGTTTTAATGATAAAGTACATAAGTATTAGAAGCAGTGCTTTTTATGATAAATTTTATTAGTGCTATAAAAAAGGATTAGAATTGAACCAAAATATTTGATGTAGCCTTGGAAAGAAAATGTTTAGTAGGCATCAGTTTATTCTTGCTGTTTGTAACAACAGACATAAAGATCAGAAAGGCTAATATTCTGTACAGCTGTAGGTAGGGCCAACTGAATCTGGATTACATCTTCATGCTACTATAGACAGTTTGATTTATGCAAGAGTAATCTGGGCTAGGTAGACTTCACAATTCACTCATACCCCAAAGGAACAACCAGCCAGCTAGGTTATCGGGGTGCTGGTAGCAGTTGCTGATCCTTTGATGTCTGCAAATTGTTTTAAATTTTTGGACAGGAAGTAGTATGGACAACTAACATTAGTATGAATACATTTCAAATTGTGCTTTCTTTTGTTTTCTTTCTTTTGTTTTTTTTTTTGTTGTTGTTTTGTTTTTTTTAGGAGAAATGCTATACTTAACCAAGTACATCATGGGAATCTATGTATCTCTCTCCCTCCCAGTTCTGCTCCCATTCCCCCAAACCTGGATTCTGATTTTGAACTCTAAGGCAAAGAATAGACTAGGGAAGTGACTAGTTAACTTCTTTGATCCATAAGCTTGACTGTGTCAGGTGGTTCTATGAAAATAAAGGTCATATTTTTTGTCAATAAAGTACACATTTACATTTGTATCAATAGGCCATTGCCTTTTCTTTTCTCTGAAATAAACTTGGAATAGTAGGGTCCCTGGGGTGGCTGAACCACTGGATATCTAATAACAGTTCAGTAAGGCTAAACTTGTTCTTTGTTTTGTGTAAGGTGGTGAGTTTTTCACTTCCTGGATAAGAGATGGTGGTCCCACACCGTAGCAATTTGATTTCTTTTTCTGAACTGGCAGTATTGGCAGAATAAGCTAACTTGTTATAGTGACTTTCTGAGACCATTTTAAAAACTGCCCAGTTAGAGTTCACTGTGGTGAAAGGTTATGTATTTGAAGTACAGTGTCACACCTTTAAAAGGTGCACCATATCTTTACAAGGATTTGTGTACTTAAACAAGACTTTCAAGAATTTTTCTTGAAAGGGCTTGCTTTCTCAGTTGGAGGATTCCTTTTTTTTTTTTTTTTTAAGATTTTATTTATTTATTCATGAGAGACAGAGGCAGAGACACAGGCAGAGGGAGAAGCAGGCTCCATGCAGGGAGCCCGATGCGGCGCTCGATCTCAGGTCTCCAGAATCGCGCCCTGGGCTGATGGCGGCACTAAACTGCTGAGCCACCCGGGCTGCCCCTGGTGGAGGATTCTAAGTATAGGTGAAGCTAGAGCCTTGGAGCAGCTGTTTTAATTTTTTCTCTATTTTCTCTTTACTTTATAGTTTATATCGTTGAAAAATGACTCTGTGGTAGCTTTAAAAAGTTAGCATCCCATTTTATGGGTGGCACCTTGCTAGTTTGTATCTTCAAAAAATATTTAAGGCAGAAAATTGAAGGATAGATTATTGTATTGTATGATACATTCAAACACTGCACATGCTTAGAATTCTCAGAATAACTATGCTATGATCTTTCATTGTAGGTCATGTGAAACTAACAGACTTTGGACTATGCAAAGAATCTATTCATGATGGAACGGTCACACACACATTTTGTGGAACAATAGAATACATGTGAGCTGCATGTTGAAAGAAATATAAGTGGTTTTGGGGGGTAATAGCTAACATTTACCTGGTTTATGTAATAGGGTGCTGTATTTTCTGTAGTACCATTTGGCTCTGTATATTGTTTTTAAACTTCTAATTCAGATGATATGCAAATGGTGAATTTTTTAGGCATGTTATTTTTCTCATTGTAGGGCCCCTGAGATCTTGATGAGAAGTGGCCACAATCGTGCTGTGGATTGGTGGAGTTTGGGAGCATTAATGTATGACATGCTGACTGGAGCAGTAGGTGCACAGTTAAAAGCTGCATGTATTATGGTCTGTGCTGAGTAGTTATTAAATCATATGGCAAGAGACCTTTCCTGTGCTTTTTAAAAATGTTACTGATGGAGTTATTTTTAAAAAATTAACACTAGTAATGCTTTATTGGTAGCAGTATGGGCTCCTATACTTTTAAAAACTTTGTTTAAATGATCTGTCATGTCAATCCTGTGAAATAGGTATAAAATAGATACTGCCCTTATTTTACAAAAGGAGAAAGTAAAGCATAATGTGGCTCATTTATTATCACACGTTAATAATGAAAACTCAGTTTCTTCTGAGATGTTGCTATTCTGTCCTGTTGCTTAAAAACTATAGATCTTTGGGACACCTGGGTGGCTCAGCGGTTAAGCGTCTGCCTTTGGCTCAGAGTGTAATCCTGGGTCCGGGGATCAAGTCCCACATCGGAGCCTGCTTCTCCCTCTGCCTGTGTCTCTGCCTGTCTCTCTTTGTGTCTCTCATGAATAAATAAGTAAAATCTTAAAAAAAAAAAAAACCTATATAGATCTTTAGCAGTCAGCCCATATCACAGGATACATTTTTGATCTCTGTGCATAACTGATTCAGGAAATGGATAATTTTATTTTTTATATGCTAATTTTTCTCACTCTCTTCTACTCCTAGCCTCCGTTTACTGGGGAGAATAGAAAGAAAACAATTGACAAAATCCTCAAATGTAAACTCAATTTGCCTCCCTACCTCACACAAGAAGCCAGAGATCTGCTTAAAAAGGTAGGGCATGAAATGATAAGCCTCAACTGCTAGGATTTAAGTAAATAGAGTTGAGCATACATTTTGAATAAAAAATCATACACATATATTAAACAAAAAAGCCTACAGTTTTTGCAGGTAAAGTACAAGTTTGCTTGCTTAAAGATTTTCTCTCCTTTTTATTCCCAACCAGTGTTTAGTAGTAATTAGTAAAGCCTATTTTCTCAAAATAGACGAGCAAATTCTATAAGTAAAAAATAATCACTTTGACTAAGGTTCCATCAGTTTTTTTTTTTTTTTCCTCCCTAAAGCTGCTGAAAAGAAATGCTGCTTCTCGGCTTGGAGCTGGTCCTGGAGATGCTGGAGAAGTTCAAGTAGGGATTGGCCTTTTTGGTGGTTTGAGGGAAAGAGAATGCTAATTACATGTGTTTGTGTTGGTTGTATGTAGTTTAAAGTATAGCTTATTTTGTGGGGCATATGGGGACTCAATCGGCTAAGCATCTGACTCTTGGTTTTGGCTCAGGTCATGATCTCAGCGTCTTGAGATTGAGCCCTGTGTTGGGCTCCACGCTCAGTGTGGAGTCACCTTGAGAGATTCTGTCTCCCTCTCCCTCCACTTCTCCAGTGAATGCTTTCTTTCTCTCTCAAATAAATAAATAAAATCTAAAAAATAAATAGTATAGTTTATTTTATGATTTGTAACTTCAAACAGTTAATTTGTCAATCCAGTGAAGTCAATTCCCCTTGACTTTTCTTCCTGTTCTTTTTTTCCTAGGCTCATCCATTCTTCAGGCATATTAACTGGGAAGAACTGCTGGCTCGGAAGGTGGAGCCACCCTTTAAACCTCTCTTGGTATGTATACATAAAAGCATATAATTTGAAGGACTTGGTACTTTCTCAGAATAGGAGAATCTTAGAGCATTCAAAAACATTATATTTACAATTCAGAAAACTTTTCACAATCCTTAATTCTGTGCAGTCTTTTCAAGGACTACTGCCATCAGCAATTGATGACTGTATTACCTATTTTTAAGTTGGTTGCCTAAGACAAATATTTCAAGTAACTGAAACTTTTTTACTTTGCTTAATTCAACCCTATTGTATTTTTGTGGGATATAATTTTTTACTCTTATTTTTATTTTTTAAGTTTTATTTATTTAAGTAATCTGCATCCCACATGGGGCTCGATCTCATAACCCCAATATCAAGAGTACCATGTTCTTCTGACTGAGCCAGCCAGATGCCCCTATTTTATTTTTGATTTTGAATTGAAGTTTAGTTGACATATAATAATATGTAAGTTTTGGGTAAGCAGCATAGTGATATAACAGTTACATACATAACAAAATGCTCACCAAGGTAAGTTGGTTACCCTCTGATTCAACCCTATTTTGAATTTGATTTTCTGGGAATTTTTTTTCTTCAAAATACAACATATATGTGTATTAGTTTGCTAGGGTTGCTGTAACAAAGTACCACAAACTAGGTGGCTTACACAGCAGTAGTTCGTTATATTATAATTCTGGAGACTAGATGTCCAAGGTCAAGGTGTTGACAGGCTTAGTTCATTAGGAAGGTTGTGAGATAGCTTCTGTTCCACTCTGTGCCTCTCTCCTAGCTTCTGGAGGTTTGCTACCAATCTTTGGCGTTCCTTGGCACATCACCTGATCTCTGCTTTTATGTTTGCATTTTCCTTTTGTGCAGATCTGCGTCCATTTTTTCCCATTTTATCAGGACATCAGTCATACTAGATTAGGATCTTCCCTACTCTAGAATGACCAAATCTTAACTAATTAAATCTGCGGTGAGGGCAGCCCTGGTGGCGCAGCGGTTTAGCGCCACCTGTAGCCCGGGGTTTGATCCTGGGGACCCTGGATCGAGTCCCACATCGGGCTCCCTGCATGGAGCCTGCTTCTCCCTCTGCCTGTGCCTCTGCCTCTCTCTCTCTCTCTCTGTGTCTCTATGAATAAATTAAAAAAAAAAAAAGAACTGTTAAATCTGCGGTGACCCTCATTCAAATTAGGTTTTATTCTAAGGTACTTGGAGTTAGAGCTTCAACACATGAATGTTGAGGGGGACACAACTCAAACCATAACAATATGTTTATGAGTAAATTAGTTGGTGTGTTAGTTCTTGTCTTTCTTCCACCTCAGAATTTGAGAAAATACAGCTTTTCTTTTCTTTTATTTTCGTTTTTTATTTAAGTTCGATTTGCCAACATATAGTATAATACCCAGTGCTCGAAAAAAAAAATAATACCCAGTGTTCATCCTATCAAGTGCCCCCCTCAGTGCCTGTCACTCACTTACCCCAACCCCCTGCCAACCTCCCCCTCCTCAACACTTGTTCGTTTCCCCGGGTTGAGTCAACTCTCATGGTTTGTCTCCCTCTCTAATTTTTCCCACTCAGTTTCCTTCCTTTCCCTTATAATCCCTTTCACTATTTCTTATATTCCACATATGAGTGAAACCATATGATGATTGTCCTTCTCTGATTGACTTACTTCACTCAGGATAATACCCTCCAGTTCCATCCACGTTGAAGCAAATGGTGGGTATTTGTCCTTTCTACTGTCTGAGTAATATTCCATTGTATATATAGACCACATCTTCTTTATCCATTCATCTGTTGAAGGACATCATAGCTCCTTCCACAGTTTGGCTATTGTGGACATTGCTGCTATAAACATTGGGGTGCAGTGTCCCAGCATTTCATTACATCTGTATCTTTGGGGTAAATACCCAGCAGTGCAATTGCTGAGTCATGGGTAGCTCTGTTTTTAACTCTTTGAGGAACCTCCACACTGTATTCTAGAGTGGCTGTACCGGTTCACATTCCCACCAACAGTGCACGATGGTTCCCCCTTCTCCATATCCTCTCCAACATTTGTTGTTTTCTGTCTTGTTAATTTTCACCAATCTCACTGTTGTGAGGTGGTAGTTTGTTTTTCTGTTTCTTGGGATGAAGGTGGAGGAGGAGGAAAATGATAATTTGGTCCTGGAGTACAAGGTGACTTGCTTTAGAATTTTTACATATATTAGGATGCCTGGGTGGCTCAGCAGTTGAGTGTCTGCCTTTGGCTCAGGGCATAATCCCGGAGTCCCGGGATCAAGTCCCACACTGGGCTTCCTGCATGGAGCCTGCTTCTTCCTCTGCCTGTGTCTCTGCTTCTCTCTCTGCCTCTCTCATGAATGAATAAAATCTTAAAAAAAATATTTTTAGGGAATCCCTGGGTGGCTCAGCGGTTCAGCGCCTGCCTTTGGCCCAGGGTGTGATCCTGGAGTCCCAGGATCGAGTCCCACATCGGGCTCCCGGCATGGAGCCTGCTTCTCCCTCTATGTCTCTGCCTGTCTCTGCCTCCTCTCTCTCTCTCTATTATGAATGAATAAATAAATAAAATCTTTAAAAAAAAATTTTTTTTATATATATAATTGTAAGGAGGCTAATTAACCCTTATGTATCAACTGTCCAGCTTGTCAGGTCATCTTGTTTAAATATAAACAAAACTGGAAAAAAAAAAAAAAAAAAAGAGGGCAGCCCTGGTGGCTCAGCAGTTTAGTGCCTGCCTTCAGCCCAGGGTGCAATCCTAGAGTCCCAGGATCGAGTCCCATGTCAGGCTCCCTGCATGGAGCCTGCTTCTCCCTCTGCCTGTGTCTCTGCCTCTCTCTCTCTCTCTCTCTCTCTGTGTGTGTGTGTGCGTGTGTGTTTCTCTCATGAATAAATAAAAATAAAATCTAAAAAATAAAAATAAAAAAATAAACAGAACTGGGCAGCCCGGGTGGCTCAGCGGTTTAGCGCCGCCTTCAGCCCAGGGTGTGATCCTGGAAACCTGGGATTGAGTCCCACGTTGGGCTCCCAGCATGGAGCCTGCTTCTCCCTCTGCCTGTGTTTGTGCCTCTCTCTCTCTCTCTTTCTCTCTGTCTCTCATGAATAAATAAATAAAATCTTTAAAAACAAATAAATAAAAACAGAACTGCTAGCTATTGTCACAACTAAAAAGCTGACATTTCAAAAAATTAAAAAAAAACACACATTTCCCCACTTTGTTTGCTTTTTCCCCCTGTTGGTTTGTTTCAATAAGGATTCAGTCAAGATCTATACAGTTTGGTTATTGTATTTTTTATGTCTCTTTCCATCTGTAGATACCCCCTCTCAATTCTTCTCCTGAGTACTTACTGAAGAAACTAGAGGGTTCTATCCTGTAGGGTTCCTAACATCTTGATTTTGCTGATTTTATTTTATTTTTAAAAAAGAATTTATTTATTCATGAGAGACACACACAGAGAGAGGCAGAGACACAGGCAAAGGGAGAAGCAGGCTCCATGCAGGGAGCCTGACATAGGACTTAATCTCAGGTCTCCAGGATCACGCCCTGGCCTGAAGGCGGTGCTAAACCGCTGAGCCACCTGGGCTGCCCCAATTTTGCTGATTTTAAAACCCCATAGTGTCATTGACCATATGGTGTAATTAGTTCCCTGTATTTAGATTTTGATTTGGATAGTAGTATTTAGATTTAGAGAATTAATCTGATTGAGATAAAACTTTTGATGTTATATATTTTGGTCAGGAGGCATAATGTATGTATTTGTATTTTTTTTAGTGATGTTAGTGGTCATTGATCATTGCCTACATTGGTGATTCTTAGCTAAGGTAAATTTGGTAAGGTTTGGAGACAAGTTATCACCACTTGAGGAGGAGATGCTACTGGTTTGCAGTGGGTAGAGGCCAGAGATGCTGCTAAACATCCTCTGTTACACAGGATAGGCCCCTACAACAAGAGTTATCAAGCCCGAAATATCAGTAGCGCTGAGAATGAGAAACTCTGGCCTAGCTTGAAGATTTCGTTAGGGGTTTGCAAAATTCTTATTCTAATACTATTATTAATTCTTCATTAGTGAATTTTTCCCTAAAAAGAAACTTAGATTGTTCATACAGGAAAGGCAGGATAAATGTTTGTTTCCTTCCCAGTTTTCAAAATAATAAATTAGTTCTTTAACATCTTCCAAAATTGACCAATGAATTCTGTAATTTTTTAAAAGTATAATTATGAACTTATGCTTTTGAAATATATTTGTGTTTTAATCCATTGCAGTAATTTTTGCTGATGCTTAGTTTTTATCATCTTTGGATACTGGGTGCTTCTTCATGTTGGTTCCCTGGCTCTTTTGACATGACCACAAAGTCTGATGTTTTATCAGGGAGAAGGAATTAAAGAAACAGATGTGGTTAAATTTAGGTGATGTTTTTCATAAGCAAATAGACTCATACAGAGTAGAATACCATTTTTGCTCTCTGAGAAATCTGTAGTCAGATGAAATAATAGGAGAAGAAACTTCAGAGCATTTTATAAATGTGTTTTGTGTTGAAACTCTGCTTCAGTAGTTTTTCAGGTTTATCATACACCTGCAGTAGTCAACTAAGCAAATTATCTCTAATAGAAAATTTAGCCAGTGGACTAGGCACACTGAAGCTTTTTAAGTGGGAAAGACTGACATTCAAATTTTTTTTTAATGGTGTGTACTAATAAAAATCTACTTTAATATGTTTAAAATTTGAAGATGTAATGTGACCTTTGAAACTTCCCACCTGTATTTATTCTTTAGTCTGTGCCTGCTAAGACTATTCTGAGATTTTATTATAGTCAAACCCTGTGAAGAGTTCTAGCTAGAGCCTTCTCTAAAGCAAGTAATGGCATTTGGTTGATATGTATAATATAGACTATTCATCATTTTCTAATTTTGTTTTTCACAAAGCAATCTGAAGAGGATGTGAGTCAGTTTGATTCAAAGTTTACACGTCAGACACCTGTTGACAGCCCAGATGACTCAACTCTCAGTGAAAGTGCCAACCAGGTCTTTTTGGTAAGTGAAAGAATTTCCATGTAGCCATGAGAAAATCAAGTATGAATTCAAGTATGATGGACCCTTTTCAGTAAGAAAATTCAGTTTACTTGCTTTGCGGTTGATACAGATAACCTGAGATACTATTTTTAATTTAGTTATATTTAACGTTTTTTAAGTTTTCTAATTGCTAAGTTAGAAAATTGATTGTCATGATCCAGTATCCATTTCAGCAGTTAGAGTAGGACTATATAATTCTTTGGAGTATATGATTCCTTTTTTAGATAGGCCATTGACTTAAAATGATGTTTGACTCAGTATTTCAATTGGAAGTCACACTATTATAACCATAGGAGAAGAGCTCACTATAACTATTCTATTCCTGAAATAGCTACAGATTTTTGGTACATGTAGTATAACTTTGTAGGGGATTTTTAACCTGTTGATTGTGAATATTTGACATCAAAATATATTGACTGGTTCATAGGAAACAGTAGTAGATTTATTTTCATTGTGGAACTATCTGTATTGATTTGTACCTTGTCTCCTCAAATAGAAAAGCAAAGCTGAGGCACCTGGGTGACTCAATTGGTTGGTCATCTGCCTTCAACTCAGGTCATGATCCCAGGGTCTTGGGTTCGAGCCCCACATTAGGGTCCCTGCTCCATGGGTCTGCTTCTCCCTTTCCCTCTGCCTGCCACTCCCCCTGCTTGTAGTCTCTCTTTGTCAAATAAATAAATAAAATCTTAAAAGAAAAAAGAAGCAAAGCTTTTAGATTTTTTAAAATCTTTTTTTAGAGATTGTAGACTTTGATAACAAAAACCTCATTTTTTTCCTTTGTTACTTGGCATTATCCTTTGTCATTTCTTTTTGGACTACCTCTAGGGAGAATGGAATATGGAGAAAATAATAATTTGGAAGTTGGGTTTTTTTCCTCTCTTATTTCTGAGTTCACTAGATTTGTCACTAATTCTCAATTTTTTTTATACTATTCACATTATAATACATAATAGTGTTGTAGTCTTTTGGGGCAGAGGGTAAGTTCTAAAGTTAGCATGGAATGGAGAAATTGTGTAAAATTAGTCTTAAATCACCATAGTACAGTATAGTTTTGAGTAAATTTTGAATAATAATTTTATAAATGTGTGATTATATAGTGATATAAGAGTAGAGCACATATGCAAAATATAATTTTACAATATTTTCAATTTACCTAAGGGATGAAATATGAATGCATGTTGTTAAGTTTATGTCTACATGAAGCAAAATCATTGTATACTCCTTAGCAAAATCTCTCATGTTCTGTTAGTGAAGTATTCATGATTCATTTTAATTCTTGCATAGCTTTCTTTTTTTTCTCTTGTGATACAGAATTTTGTTTCTACTGATGTGGAGTTTATAGCTTTGATTTAACATAGAGGTCAGGCAGCCCCGGTGGCGCAGCGGTTTAGCGCGGCCTGCAGCCCTGGGTGTGATCCTGTAGACCCAGGATCGAGTCCCACATCGGGCTCCTTGCATGGAGCCTGCTTCTCCCTCTGCCTGTATCTCTGCCTCGCTCTCTCTCTCTCTGTGTCTCTCATGAATAAATAAATAAAATCTTAAAAAAAAAATAACATAGAGGTCTTTTCCTCAGTTGGGCATTGCAAAGTTTCAACTAGTTTGACAATTTTGCCCCCATAAAAAAGTCTAGATATATCTTACCTTGCTTTAAGGAAATCTAGAGTCATGGTGGCAAAAGTTATATAACTAAGCCTTCATTGCCAGTTAAACTTTTCATAATTACTTAAACTGGCCAAATAATAAACACAAGAATAATTCATTTGTTAGGTTGTAGACAGAATTCTTTATGTAAAGTGGATCCCTAAAAATTAATAAAAAATAGTAACATCCCACTTACATGCAGATTGTGATCAGAGCAACTTCAGTTCAATAATTATTTAAATTCCTATCACAGAATTAAAGGAAATTCAAAGCTGAAGAAGGAACAGCCTTGGTCCTCTTGGTAGTTATGGCTTTAGCCCACTAGACTGTGGGGAAATGGCTTCTAAAGTCCACATATACCTGTCACAAAGAATATGCACGGCAGAATTGTACCTCACTCTTTAGGACTTCACCCGAAGGCTTTGTGCTATAACTCATAATGGCTATTCATAGGGGACTATAATAGTAAATTGAAGGGAAGTTAGGTGGAGGACTGATTGTTAAAGGGATAAACATCGACAGCAAGAGGGACAGCTGGGTGGCTCAGTGGTTGAGCATTTGCCATCTGCTCAGGGTGTGATCCCAGGGTTCTGGGATCGAGTTCTGCATCAAGCTTCCTGCAGGGAGCCTGCTTCCCTCTCTGCCTCTGTGTGTCTCTCATGAATTTAAAAAAAAAAAAAAATCTTTAAAAACATTGACAGCAAGAGAAATGACACCTGGTAGCTGGATAGCAAGGCCTAAGAAAGAACTAAAGCTAACAAAACTGCCTGATTGCCTATTACAATTGAGGGTTTTCCACAATGCTGAGGGTTTTCCCTCATACATTCAAGAAAATACCAAATCTGTCTAATCATTGGTATAAAACCAGAGAGATCACACATGCTAAGTTGGAGAATTCTCTTTTTACTAGAGTGTGATAATGAGAAACTAGGATGTGATAATCTTAGTTGCTTGTGTTCATGTAGCTAGAAACACTAGAATTTTCTTTGCATTCCTCTTGGTATTTAATATCTTAACATAGAGCCTAAATTTTCCTATTTTGTTCTACTCCTTTCAACAAATTCAACAATTATTTCAACAAATATTCAACAAAGTGTGGAATATTGTTTGCTAGCATATGGGGCTCAGTAGAATTCTGTCTTCTTGAGGTCTGTGCCTCAAAAAATGGTTGGAAAGAATCTAACTGGTATGAAATGAGATTGGGGAGATGGGAGTATACAGAGTGGTGATTTAGGTGTGCATTGCTGTTTTGGTGTGTCAGACTGAAACCACATTTTCTTGATGTATATGACACAGTGCCATTCTGTAGTCTACAATTACTATCTTTCAGGGTTTTACATATGTGGCTCCATCTGTACTTGAAAGTGTGAAAGAAAAATTTTCCTTTGAACCAAAAATCCGATCACCTCGAAGATTTATTGGCAGCCCACGAACACCTGTCAGGTATTCAGACTTTGTTATTCTCACTTTTTTTTTTTTAACCTAGAAGAGTATGCTTAAGAAATTTATGCCAGGTTACATAAATAAAAGATCTGTCATATTCTCTTTGGTTGACATAAGCACAGCATCTACATCTTATTGTATGCTATATATACTTTCCTTCCTGTGAAAGTTGCTGCACTGGCAAATGTCTTCCTTACCCATTCATTCAACATTTATTGTGTACCAGGGACTGTGTTGCATAATGGGGGTACATGATTAGCATAGGAATTGCCCTTGTCCTGATGAAGCTTACAGTTAGTGAGAAGAGAGTCAAAACAACTGAAGAAGGAAATATAAGAAATATGTAATCACAAGTAGTATCAAGTTACTATATGAAGAAAAATATAAAGAGTGTGGTGGTAGCAAATAACAACAGGGGGGCTTCTGTTCGTGATCAGAGAACCAGGCCTCCCTGATGAAGTAAATTCTAAGAACGAAGAGAAAAAGCCACCTACACAAAAATCAGAAGTATTAAGGGTGTTACAGGTAGAGCAACAGCCCATGTAAAAGCCCTAAGGGAGGAAAAAACTTGGTCTTGGAAATGAAAGGGTGGTCAATGTTCTTCACATGTGAGTGAGGAAGAGAAAGGTTTGGAGAAGTATTTCATCTTAAATGTAATGGAAAGCTCTTTTAAGTGGGGAGTAAAATGATTTAAAAAATATATATATATCATTGAGGGTTTTACACAGGCAGTAATAGAGGTAAACAGACCAATTAGGGAACTCTAGCAGTTAGTCTAGGGGAGCAATGGCCTTTGTACTAAATTCACACAAAAATAAAATTAAATAAAAATAAATGTCACATTACCCCACTCCTTTTAAAAATAAGGGAAATATTTCTTGTGAGATAATCCTTGAGATAAATGAATGATAGCTCTTCCTTGTCTTAAAGCCCGGTCAAATTTTCTCCTGGGGATTTCTGGGGAAGAGGTGCTTCAGCCAGCACAGCAAATCCTCAGACACCTGTGGAATATCCAATGGAAACAAGTGGAGTAGAGCAGATGGATGTGACAATGAGTGGGGAAGCTTCAGCACCACTTCCAATACGACAGCCGAACTCCGGGCCATACAAAAAACAAGCTTTTCCCATGATCTCCAAACGACCAGAGCACCTACGTATGAATCTATGACAGAGCAATGATTTTAATGAATTTAAGGCAAAGAAAAAAAAAAAGGTGGGGAAGGGATGTGTGAGCATCCTATAAGGTGAAACAAGAAGACTCAAAATGACAGTCTCGAAGAGTCAGTGTCATTACATTGAACACTTTGGATAGAGGAAAAATAAACATGGATTTTTAAAAAATCAATCAATGGTGCAAAAAAAAAAAAACTAAAGCAAAATAGTATTGTGGAACTCTTAGGCACATCAATTAATTGATTCCTAGCGACATCTTCTCAACCTTATCACGGATTTTCATGTTGATGGCTCGAACTGACAGTATTAAGGGTAGGATGTTGCTTCTGAATCACTGTTGAGTTCTGATTGTATCGAAGAAGGGTTATCCTTTCATTAGGCAAAGTATGGAATTGCCTGTAATACTTGCAACTAAGGACAAATTAGCATGCAAGCTTGTTCAAACTTTTTCCAGCAACATGGAATCAAAGACAAAAGAAACTTAACAATTGATGTTTTACGTGCAAACAACCTGAATCTTTTTTTTATATAAATATATATTTTTCAAATAGATTTTTGATTCAGCTCATTATGGAAAACATCCCAACTTTAAAATGCAAAATTATTGGTTGGTGTGAAGAAAGCCAGACAACTTCTGTTTCTTCTCTTGGTGAAATAATAAAAATGCAAATGAATCATTGTTAACCACAGCTGTGGCTGCTCGTTTGAGGGATCGGGGTGGACTTGGGGTTTATTTTCAGTAACCCAGCTGCAATACCTGTCTGTAATACTAGAAAAAAAAAATCTATTTAATCATTTCTACTCGCAGTACTGCTATGTGCTAAGCTTAACTGGAAGCTTTGGAATGGGCATAAGTTGTATGTCCTACATTTCACCCTTGTCCTGGGCCTGCATTGCACTGGAAAAATACCGCCACCTGTTCTTATACCAGTATTTGGTTCAAGACGCCAAATGTTTTCAGCCTATGGCTGAAGAAGGATGGAAAAGAGTCAGGATAAAATGCATACTGAGGGCAGTAAAGTGAGGAAGAGAGGGAGATGCAGGGGAAGAGGGTGTTGTCATGTTCCACTCTCTATGTCTAATCTCTTTACAGCAAATTGGTAAGATTTTAAGTTTTACTTTAACTGTTTTTGCTGTCTACCTTCCTTACATTTTTTTTTCCTCAACAGTTTTAAAAGGAAAAAAAAAGTATTTTTCTTTCTCCTATCCTGGGGCTACATTTTTTGATTGTAAAAATATTTGATGGCCTTTTGATGAATGTCTTCCACAGTGAATAAGAAAACTTAGTGGCTTAATTTAGGAAACATGTTAACAAGACACTATGTTTTTGAAATTGTAACAAAATCAACATAAGTGATATATACAGGTACAAAGAATAAAAATAAAGGTAACTTTACCTTTCTTAAATACTTCCTGCCTTAAAGAGAGCATTTCCATGACTTTAGCTGGTGAAAGGGTTTAATATCTGCAGAGCTTTATAAAAATACATTTCAGTGCATACTGGTATAATAGATATCATGCAGTTGCAGATGAGTCTTACCACCTTTTTTTTTTGGTTTTTATAATGTCTTCAGTCTGAGCGTGCAAAGTCAATTTGTAATATTTTGCAGCCCTCCAGTTTTTTTTAAATAGATGCTGCTTGCTATGTTTTTCAAACCTTTTTGAGCCATAGGATCCAAGCCATAAGATTCTTTATGCATGTTGAATTCAGTCAGAAAAGAGCAGAGCTTTGCTTATTTAAATGGCAATTCAAGTGAGATGAGATGAAATCCTATGACATTAGGCAAAATAGAACCATGAAGAATGATTGGAAATATACCTTTTCAATTGTGGCAATAAATGAAAGAACTGGTAACAGTTCATCTTTGGACAGAAAGTTTTTTTTTTTTTTAATCACTTCCTCTAGACCCCTTCCTTCCTTATTGCAGCAGCCTACTGAGAACTTTACAACTGTAGCTAGTAAATTAGAAGCTACAATAATGATAAGGGCAGAAATTCTATGTCTGAAAAAAACAGAACCCAAAGCTATGGTGATAGGTTCAGGCTTTATTTCAGACTGTAAATGGCTTGTGCTACTCTGATACTTGTTTTCAAATGTGTTTTTACTAACTGTAGTGTTGACTGCCTAACCAAATTCCAGAGAAATTTTTACACCAAAACAGTCCTCCTCAGTCCTATTTGCTAGTAATATTTGCACTGTGATTGGCTGGCTCTGATTACCCCATAAACTATTTTCATAATTAGTACTGCCAGCAGTAGTGGCATACACTGCAACTTTTCTGCATAAAAAGCATTAATTACATACCTACCACCCATACAAATAGTCTTTCAAACTTAAGTGAAATTAATTTCCATTGCTGTGGCAAGTTTACTGGGAAATTGTTTCATAAATGGATATCCCTACTATGACTGTGAAAACATGTCAAGTGCCACTTTAGTGTCACAGACAGAAAGCACACACCTATGCAATATGGCTTACCCTATATTTATTTGTAAAAATCCAAGCATAGTTTAAAATATATGATGTCAATATTACTAGTCTTAAGTTTTTAAGAGGGTTCTTTATGATTATTCCAGGTAAGTGTATAAAAGAGATTAAGTGCTTTTCTTTCATCACTTATTTTCTTTAAAATCAGCTATTACAAGATATTTTTTTACTTTATACATGTTTTTTAATTAAAATATAATCACTGAGAACTGAAGTTTACTAATTTTGATTTTATAAGGTTTGTAGCATTACAGAATAAACTGGGATTTATAAACCAGCTGTGATTAACAATGTAAAGAATTATTGAACTTGAATCAGATTTTTAGGAAAATTATGTTCTTTTTCCCCTTTATGGTCTCACCTAATTTGAATCCTTCAAGAAGAATTTTTCCATACTATTTTTTGAGATAGAAGATAATTGGGGGTGGGGGTTAAGAATGCATGTATGATACTCCATAAATTCAACATTCTTTAATAAAAGATTATAAACAAGATGCATCTTCAATAGTTATTAATATATTGAGCCTTGGATTTTGTGTTTAATATAGGACCTATTTTGGTTACTTAGTCATATGGTTCTTACAAGGGTTAGATTTTAAGATTATCCCCATGAGAAATGTTGAATTTATGAAGAATGGATTTTGAGGCTTTGAAAATGGTTAATTTCTCAAATAAAAGCACCAGTGTCCAAACATCTACCCTTTTTAATAGGAGTAGAAACTAGCAAGCTGGACAAAATCATAAAAGTATTTGTCACACCATGACCTGTTGTCTGTTGCTGATTGAGAAAAAACTTTTCTTGTGTGATTCTTAATTTATCATTACAGCACAAGTATTATCTCAGTGGATTATCTGAAGTAATATCTGAAGGATAGGTTCATCTGTGTTTGTTCTTTAAACTATTATTTTTTTCCTATCCCAAGTTGGCTTTGCATCTATCAGAGTAAATAAATTCTTCAGCTGCCTTATTAGGAGTGCTATGAGGGTAACACACTTTTCTGCTTTTCATCTTGTATTTAGTTTACTGTATTAAGTATTTTGATTTCGGATTGAATGAATGTAAATAGAAATTAAATGCAAATTTGAATGAACATAAAATAGAAGTGATTTTTTTTATTCTAAGATAGGAAGAAATAACTATCAGGTGCACAAATGGTTTCAATAATTTTTTGCATTAACATACCAGATATGTTCAGGTTCTCTTATTTAATAAACTGCTTATATGTGTGAGGACTGACAGTTGTAAAACTTTCTGCTGAGAAATTTAAGCTACTTAAATATATAACAAGTTTTAGTACTAATATTATATATTAGATGTTACACATTTGTAATTTCCAAGTTCTGTCCAATAGTTGAATTGGTTGCATTAAAAAAAAAGCTCATGTGAAGAATTATATGTGAAAGTTAGCTGTCACATAGATACATTAGGAAGACTTTCTTGTGCTAACAATTGACAGTTTGTTCAGCCACACTTGTCAACTACATTTGGTTATTGGATGTGTATGTACTACATAATGTAGGTACATAAATCTGTTTTTAACTAATGTTAAATATAATCTAGTGTAAGATCAGTGTTTTGTATAAGCCATTATTTGAAGTTGGATAATTTCTCTATAGAAGTTCTGAAACTGGCTACTTTTTTTTTTTTTATAAAACATGGTTGTGGCCCTTAATGCTGATAAAACAGTCTTTCAGAGGGTGTGATCTGAATTCACAGAATAGATGGGTTTTTGAATCCCTGTTTTCGTTTTGAGGTGAAGAAATAGAAGTAGAGAAACACTTCCAGTTCATCAGTGTTGTTGGTGGATAGCATAGCTTTCCTCTTACATTTCCCCCCCCTTTTAAATTCATGTGAGCTGCTTTCTTGTTCATTAAAAACAAAAACCCAGTTGTATATCATGGACCTCCTGTTTTATTAAATCTTAAGAACCAAAGCTATCCATATAGCCATAGGGTAAGAGTAGGAATAGGGCTTAGTAATGTAGTAAGTTGCTACTCTTGTGTTGGTAATAGGAATTCAGCACAGCTGTCTTTCACACTCAGTTTTTTTTTTTTTTTTAAGATTTTATTTATTTGACAGAGCAAGAGAGCGGAAGTAGGGGGAGCAGCAGAGGGAGTGGGAGAAACAGGCTCCCCACTAAGCAGGGAGCCCAATGCAGGGCTCAATCCCAGGATCATGACCTGACCCAACCACCTGAGCCACCCAGGCACCTCCACACTCATTCTAATCCCAAACTGCCTTCCTCACCTATCTCCTGCTGTATACTTAAATAAAATTGGCTTCATCACAATCAAGGTAATTTAAGGCCAAGTAAGCTTGTTTCAATATTTGCAACTGTTCTCAAAGTGGGTAATAGAGTTCAATGTATCCTCATCGAATAGCAATAGCTGAACTTAGAACCTGGCAATATTTATGTACAAAAAATAGTTATTGGCTTTCTAATATTCTTTTGTCAACTTGGGTGGTTATACAAGCATGAGTGATTTAATCTGTAGCTGGTCACTATCCTTATTAATCCAGATGCTGGTTTAGACTTTGTCTTAATACTGCAGATTTGTTTTTCATCTCCCAACTTTTCCTTTCCACTTTTACCCTTGTGTGTAAACTAATGGTAATAGAGAAAATGGGCAGAAACTTAGACTCTAGATGTAACCAGCCCTTTATACTTCTGTTAAAGATTTGATTCTGCCTCAAAGGTTTCATGGGGAGAGAGAAATTGCTTCATTGCTTTTTCCAATCAACCCTGCACAAATGCCTAGAAGCAAACAAACTACACTATCTAAGGCTTTTCTGAAAGCCTTTGAGTGCAAGCTTTAATCTCCCAAGCATAAAGATTCTAAAACTCTTTGGAGAAGATTGGTTATAAGGAAAATTCTTTTCTAAGAATTTGAGTAGGTTTCATTTATCATACTATTCAAATCCTCAGTGAAGCCAGCTGTTTGTAATCCATGTGAATTATTTTAATAGTTAAAGATAGTTCATGGCACTATACAAAAAGCAAGATTATGTACATTAAAGCTGACGGCAGGATTGTATGTCTGAGGTCTACAAACAATTTAAATCCTCTCAATTGATTGCTAATCATACTACAGAGAACAATACAATATTAAAATATATCATCCTCAGTAAATTAATCTTCACTTAGAAAATCTGTTTACAGGTAAAAAATAGCATTTAGAACTTCCATTTTAAATACAAACTTTATGAAAATTTTAAGAATTTTTAGAATGGGAACTACAAAAGTCAATGCTAAAGTAAATTCTACTTTCAGATAATGTGTATCTTAAAATATTATGAAAAATATTCTTTATTCTGAAAACAATGTCAGGAAAAGAATACCTGAGTTCCTCTAAAACCACTAGTTTCAGTTACCCAATAGCTGTTTTGGTAACAATGAGAAAACAGTCACAATTTAACACTGCAACCACCTGCCAAATAATTAGGACAGAATAAATGTTCATATGCATTAGGTTGAACATTACTTATATATTTCTTAAAACATAAGGTTCTTAAAAAATAAAAATAAAACATAAGGTTCTTTCATTTAATCTTTTGATAAAATAGACTACACACTTAAGTCTTACTATAGTAATCTAAAACCATATGGAAACATTTTCTTTAACTTCTAGTCCCAAAAACCCATTCTAATGTCTTTATTTATCAATAGTCAGTGTAGCCAAATGAAATTAGTGTTTTGAGGCCTTTATAGTTTATACAACTTAATATATTTGAAAGTGGGATGAAGTGGCTCCATCTTTCCATTTGTTTATATGGTCTGAGATCACAGTTCGGCACAGTGGACATGTTTTCTCTCTGTTAAACCATAAGGTAATGCATTCTTCACAAAATATATGCTGTAAGGGAATTAAAATTAGATTTTATACTTGATAACATTTTAATTTTAAAATCATCACATTCCAGAGAATCATACCCTAGAGCTGAAAGGAATTTTAGAGAGCATTAATCCATTTTACAAATGAGAAAGTATGACATCCAAGAACACAAAGCAATGTTAGCAGTAGAGCCACTAGTGTTCTTTTGACTGTTCATTTAACATCTTTTAATAAAATATAAGCTATATATAAACTATAAGGTATCCCTAGGTGATCACTTTAAATATAATGACTTAATAGTTTAATAAAGTCTCTGAAAGTAACTGCCATCAAGTATAGAAAAGAGCCTTACACATCCAATAATAAACACTGGTATTATTCTAAAAGACTAGTATCCAGTTGTTAAAGGTAGCCTATTTATCCAGTCACTTTGGTGTCCAGTATGCATTTGAATTATCTTTCCCCACATATATTCCTCTGCATACAAATCATTAGAACATAAGCGACAAGATTTAGCTAATCTACTAAACCCTTGATTACAAATAGGAAATGACTAGTATGTGCCCTGAATGCTACTTTAGGCTAAACACTAGATTTTTCCTTATAGCTAACATAAGTGACTTGCGACTCAGAGAAGAGCTGTGTTTTGTATGCTTAAAAAATATATTTACCTGACAGATGAGCAGAATTGGTTTTTGAAATTCAGCTTGACATACTGAACAAATGTCATCCACATCTGAACACTGTCTCTTGCTGGCAGCTACTCCATAACTCTATGAAGATAAAAAGTTTCTGTTCATCTACAAATCTTTTTCTTTCCTATTACTCAAATACATAGGTGATGCTGTATTTCTCAATTCTCCCTGGAACTAGGCATTTGAAGACTCTCCTGAAGGACTAAACATTTCAAAGCTAAACTGTGTATGTAGAATCATGTCCTGATGGGCTGTATGCATCAAGGTGAACTCATTAGATACATATCAGGATCCTGGAAGATTGTCAGATTCATTGGCTTCCCAAATAATGATAGTGCTACAATATCAACCGGCTTAAGTGACTAAGCAGTCTAAAATATAACTATTATAAAATCTATATTCATGTATTATGTGACCTGGTATTACCAAATAGTCCACTTACTACCTATTGCAGTGGTTCAAAACAGTCCATTCAGAGCTTGGTTGGCTGAATATAACTCATGTAGAGATAGCTTTAAAAATAGATTTCTGTGCTCCATACCGGAGATTGACTTAATATGTCCAGACATACTAAGATGTGACCCAGGAATCTAATTTTTGAAAGCTCTCTAGGTAACTGAATATGAATAAGGTTTGGGGACCAGTGAACAGTTTCCTGTTACTAAATCTGAAAGTAATTTGACTGTCATCCTTAATTATCACAAAAGAGAACACTTAGTACTAGGAAAAAATAAAATTTTATAAAAGAAATGGAATTGCAAAATATGGGTAGAGTTAAATGATCTGAATGATCATACATTTCTTTGAATTTCCTTTTCTCCTTAAGTCCTTAGTTTTTTATCTCTTTAAGACCTTAATAACTTCCTCACCAAATTCAGTAGAATATAGTTATTAACTAGACATGACAAAATGTTAACAAATGAGATCACCTTTTTGTAGAAATGATGAGGAAAAGGTGGAAGAGAAGTAAGAACACCCAAATTCAGTCATGGTAATGAGAGCAAAGCATGACTTGACTCAATAACTTGAGACTTTGATCTAAAATTATTTTACTAAATACCAAGAGTTAACAAAATCAAACTAAGATTCAGAGAATAAAAAATATTTAAAAATAAGATTTTTTTTTGAGTCTGGTGATATAAAAATTCCAGAAACAATATGGGATACTGATGCATAATCTTGGTGCCAATTTCCCTTCATTAAAATGTCACTTAGCAGAGTGCACTGCAGATACATAAGCCTGACAAATTTTTAAAATAGCACTTCTGGGGGTACCTGGATGGCAGAGTCAGTTCAGCATCAGACTCTTGGTTTTGGCTCAAGTTGTCATCTCAGGATTCTGAGATCAAGCCCCGCCTTGGGGGACCTGAAAAGAGACTGCTTGAGATTCTCTCCTTCTGCCCCTCCAGCTTGGGCTCGCTCATGAATGCTTTCAAATAAATATTTTTTAAAAATTGCACTCCTGTGTGGCATTCTGCAGATTCCCTTCAGGTGAAGACTTAATTTTGATGGGATTGCCATTTCCTTGGCAAAGTTAAGGAAAATATATATATATATATATACACACACACACACACACATACATATATATACACACATACACACACGTATTCCTGAGAGACTCAAGAATAAATTAGAGTATCAATGATTGTGATTTCTCTTTATGCCTTACAGAGAATGAATATCAAAAGTATTTCAGCACGTCTTACTAAATTGTAGTAAAATAGTTGATACTCATATAATCAATTGAAATAACTTCATGAAAGTGGAACTCTCAATTTTATTGTACCTGTCTAAAAAAAGAAGTTTGAATAGGATGCAGCAAAACTTGTCATTAAATTAGTAGCTCTAGGTGCACCTGGCTGGCTCAGTTGGTAGAGCATGCAACTTGATCTTGGGGTCAAGTTCAAGCCCCACGTTGGGCATAGAGCTTACTTTAAAATAAAAAAATTACTAGCTCTATCTAGCCAAAGGGTGTCCACATCTAAGTACTGACAACCTTTGAGGCTACTGAATAGCAAATGAGCCTTTCTCTGTAATGTGTAACGAGTGGAATCACATAATAATCAGGTTTATAATTGACACTGGAATCTCATTTTATTGTTAAATTCCATGCCATGAACTTATTTGTACATACAGAATTGACTTGGTGGGGAATTTTTCCAGTAAGGAAATTTCAAGAGACATTTTTGGTAATGAGCTTTTCTCAAATACACAATAAATTATAATTAGGACATTCTTAATAGGAGCTGAGTAAAGAGTTAATGGAAGTACAAAAAAACCATTTGTGAAAAAAAATTTTAGAGATTTACTTATTTTTAGAGAGCACACGTAAGCAGGGGTGGGGACAGCCTGCTATGGGGCTCAATCTCACAATCCTGAGATGACTTGAGCAGAAACCAAGAGTCAGACACTCAACCAACTGAGCCACCTAGGTACCCCATGTGAATTGTTAAAAAAGGAGGAACAAAAGTTCACGACGAGACTTTTAAGGGAATGTATATAAACCCTTATGTCAAGCGATGTGAAGGGGCAAGAGGCACATTCAGAAATATAAGCACTGCATGAACTATCAGGCAGTTGTCAACATTCAACTCAAGAAACTGATCTTAGAAATAAAATTCTGAAATTATCATAGCTCCATGTGCCAAAGTACTAAAAAAGCATGAAATTATGAAATTTACACCTTTTTAAAAGTAAGCTGTACACCCAATGTGGGGTTTGAAGGCAATTACCCAAAATCGAGAGTCACATGCTCTACCAAATGAGCTAGCCAGGTGTTCTATGAGACCCATACTTGTAAAATTGATGAACTAAAACATTTGCGTAACGAAGAAATGTAAAAAGTGATGTTTTCTTTTTTAAAGATTTTATTTATTCATGAGAGACAGAGAGAGAGAGGCAGAGACACAGACAGAGGGAGAAGCAGGCTCCCCACAAGAAGCATGATGTGGAACTTGATCCCAGATCCCGGGATCATGCCCTGAGCTGAAGGCAGACGTTCAAACGCTGAGCCACCCAGGCGTCCCAAAAAGTGTTTTGTTTTTTTAATTGATAAAAAATACTTACTGGTCGTGTAAAAAATATTCGCAAAACCCGTCGGAAAGTTCTCAGATTTCCAAAGAAATCCAAAAGCTAAAAAGAAATGAGAATTCTTGAATTCAAAGAGCCCTGTTAAACCTAGAGATCAAAGCTAAAATCCCACAATATAAAATACTGATATTAACTTAATGCTCATTGCATATTCACTTCATTCTAAAATATTTAAAGTCTAATTATGGAATATTTCACTCAATTTATAGATATCAGCCAATTTTTAAAAAAGATTTTGAGAGAGAAAGAGAAAGTGTGCGTGCATGTGCACAAGCAATGGGGAGGAGCAAAGGGGAAGGGAGAAGCAGTCTCCCCATTGAGCAAGGGGCTCAACCTGGGGCTCAGCTCAATCTCAGGACCCCAGGATTATGACCTGAGCTGAAGGTAGATGCTTAACCAACTGAGCCACCTAGGCTCCCCTCAGCCAACTCTTTAAAAAAAATCTTCCACCCCTCTTCATCCATTTTGCCCATTCCTCCACCCATCCGTGCTTTAAATTTATAGGTTTCAGCCAACTCTTAACCAAAATGAAGTATATTTAAATATCTAGAGTTACAATTTGGTTAAGACAAATATAAACTTAACTGTGTCAAAGATAAAGCAATTTCACCTGGTTCAAATGTATTTAGATTTTTTTAAAGTTTCATGTTAATTTGTGGAGAACAGGACAGTATACTAGTTCAAGAATTTTGTATATGACAGATGCTACTGTTGGGGATGGGTATGTTCTATTCTACCCATGCTATGTGGAGGTCCACTCCCCCCAATTAAATCTGAGAACTACTGGATTAAGATAAAGATCTATATTTCCATTTTTTTCCTTTTCTTAAGTAGATACAGAACCTGCCATTACTTCAAATTAATCATATGAAGACAAACTATAAAACAAAGACAAAAACAGTAGTATGTAAAATCTGTAATCATCACATGAATCATTATTCAATGACAAGATTTATAAAGTTACCTACTTTTAGTATGAGGTAGAGTAAAGCCAGCAATATCCCAAGACTCCATCTAGTTACATTACCAAACTCCCCATAGCTTATAAGATAACGAAACCAAACTGGTATGGGAACAAAAGTTCGGTAATACTGGCATGATTCTTCTAAAAGCATATACCAGTAACCCTAAAAGGGAAGGAAAAAGAAAACAAAGCTATACAAGCTACTTATATACATAGCACAAATATTTCATATTGGACTGAGATGATCATGAGTATATGCCACAATAAGTATAAAATTAATCTTCAAAATGCTAATGGTTATAATTGACAATCTCAACCTTGTTTTCATAATTACTGAGTGGTTTTGAAAGAATTTCAAAAGAATGACACTGAAAATTTTTTATGTATACTAAGTAAAACTTATATTTTTTTTGTTTTTAAAACTTATATTTTTGCTGATTACAAAAATCTATGAAAGTTTTTACTGAATATGGGAAAAACACAATATAGTCAGTTATCCATTATTAATTGATAAAGCCCTGGAGGAGAACAGTACAAATCTAAATATTATTTTTCTATATGTGCTGTGGGGACTGATTTTTAGATTAGTCTGAAACACATATAATTCTGATTTTATTGGACTAGGTTAGTATTTGGGTTCAAGTCTCTGAGCAGTGGTCGCCAGTATGAGATAATACAGATATTTAAATTAGGTTATTTAAGAAAATGAAAAGTTATAAGAGTCATTTCAACAAAGACTAAGCATTAAGGTGATTTGCTAACATTTTTTCAATTAAACATGTTAGTTTCTTACCTTGGATTTAAAAGGCATGATGAAAGAAGGCATCAACAAAATAAGGCATTTTAAGCCCATGAAGAGGAATTTCAGAATGAAGTCTGTAATTCCAACAATCCAAAGTACTTCCCAGAAGCTTGAATGGTCCAAGGTAGGATTTAAAAAAATTAAGCTACCAAGAAAAAACATCAAAACTTAACCAGAGCAATATAATATACAAAGGTCAAGTTTTGATAGGGGGTTTAATTTGCTACCAAATATTTAATTTGATGTGTAAAAAAAATGTGTCTGGCAAGATGTTAGAGTGTAGGTAAATAGAATGGGAAATCTTATTGCTTATTTTAAAGAGACTTTTAAGATATTTAATTTTCACATTTTTTCTCCATAGAACAAAGAAAAAGTCCTAGCATGTCATGGATGGAAAGCTAGCATGTAATCTAAAAAGTTCACTAAATAGACATCTGCCATTTCTCTTCTCAACCAACTCCAACCAGGGTTCCATCCTTTCCTTTCCACTGAAATGCTTTTGTCAAGATCACCAGTTCCTTCCATCTTGCTAAACTCAAAGGTCACTTCTCATTCTCTATCTTCCCTTCCTGAATTATTTCTTCCTAGACCTCTAACACCACACTCTTCTAGTTCTGATGGTTTTTTTAAATCTCATTTGCTGCTCCTCCTCTTAATTGTGGCCATGTCCAGTCCTGCACCCTCTCCTGTCTAAACTTTCTTTCCCTCCTTAGTCTTGGTGAATTCCATGGTTTTTAGATATCAACCATACACTGGATAACACCAAAATTTATAGCCCTAACCTTAACTGTGAGCTCATGACATAGCTGTATGTCATGACATGTTCAAAGCAAAAAAACTATTGATTTTCCTATCAAAACCAGTTCTGTCCCCAGTCTTTCCCAGCCCATAAATGGCATCACCATCCAGCCAGTTGCTAAAACTAAGTCCTAGGTGTCATCCTTCATTCTTACCCCTTACCTTCCCACCCTATCCAATCTGAGTGGTAGTAGTTCCCCCTACAATCTATATCTTAGATTTGCTCTCCAGTTCTATTGAAGCCAAGGCTTCTAATTATCTAATTAAAGTCAAACACTCAAAACACTTTTATCTGACATGGAAACTTAATTATTGTCTTTTAGTAAGTCTTCTCCTTACTTCTAGAAACAAAGACCATGTGTTCTTACCATACACACATAACTGAGGAAGGTGGTGGATATCTTAATTAGCTTGACTGTATAATCATTTCACAATGTGTATATACATATATATATCTCAAAACATCACATTGTACATCTTAAATATATACAATTTTTGTCAAAAATAGATAAAATTTTAAAAAGACAATTACCAACAACCTAATGGTATTCAAAACTATTGATTATATAAGTAAAAATTTATCAAAAATTAAAAAAAATAAAAATAAATTAAATAGTACTTGCTATAAGCCAAGGCACTGAGTATACAAATCTGAGTAAGTCACTTAGACCTACTGATCTCGGAAGGAGAGGGACAAGTAAAAATTGAACTTTAACAGTAAATATGTGCAAGTTAAGACATATACAAAGTTCTATGGAAAAATTGTTACATAAAAAATGGGATTGTGTATTTGGACCTCAAATTACCTGTAATAAAGTGACTGAGAATGAAAGGTGTAATATAAAAGAACAGAAGATCCTGCTAAGAATACCAGTAACCAAGCACACTGAATCTTTGAGCACCTTTCCTGAAAAATAAACAATTTTGTAATTTGTTACTATGAATTATGCCATAATTATAAATATTAAACTTTTATTTAATGACTAATTAACTTAGAACATTTTAAGAAATTAATCTTAATATATTGAATTGTACATCACCACACTCTATGAATCTTTAGTGAACAAAACAGAACTCATATTTAAACAGAGTTTTAAAATACAAGTTTCTTCATTGTATTAAAACATTACCCAGGTTTCAAAGAAGCCCAGTCTTCTACAAGCTGATAAAAAGGACCCAACCAAGTACAAACTTTACCTCTGCAAAGCTCCCTATTTTTGCCTCCCTGACAAAACAGAATTTTTAAAAATACACTTAAGTTATTAGGATTTGTAAGTATAATTTTAAAAAATTTCAAACAATTCAGTTAAGATTTTAACAAGGTGATTTGTTGTTAATCTCACTTCAACATTTTTTGAAGATTTTATTTATTAATTTGAGAAGAGAGCATGCATGAAGGGAGGGGGAAAAGGGGAGCAGAGAGGGACAAGCAGCAGACTAACCACAGGGTGTGTAGCTGACATGGGCTCCGTCTCACAATGACCTGAGCCAAAATCAAGAGTAGGACACTTGGGATGCCTGGGTGGCTCAATGGTTGAGAGCCTGCCTTTGGCTCAGGTCATGATCCCGGGGTGCTGGGATTGAGTCCTGCAGTGGGCTCCCCAAAGGGAGCTTGATTCTCCCTCTGCCTGTGTCTCTGCCTCTTTCTCTGTATCTCTCATGAATAAATAAAACATTAAAAAAAAAAAAAAAAGTAGGACACTTAACCCACTGAGCCACTCAGGCGCCCCTTAAAATTGTTTTAATTACTAAGTTTACTTAAAAGTTTTATTATAAACCCTGAATTAAATTTTTATAGTTTTATAGGTTCTGACTAGAAATATCCAGGTCAGAATGCATGATCCTTTACACAGATACAGCCCTTTATAAAGTTGCTTGAAGATGAAATTTTATAAACTAATCCTATTTTTTCCAATAACTTAACCTGACTAATAATTTATAATTTATGTTATGGAAAAACTATTTGGGTTTAATTTTCTTTAAATAACAGAGACCTAAATAGTTTAATATCCATTCAATGTACATTTTATTTAACTATTTTAAATCTTATAGGGCAACAGCTAAAGTTTTTAATGATATATTACCTCGTTTGGTCAAAGTACTCAAAGTATGAAGGCACTTGACAAAATCAGATCAAACAGTGCATTCTAAACCTTTTACTCCTATCTAGTTTTTCTATCAGGAATTCAACATACAAAGAAAATAAAGTAAAACAATTTAGCATTAGGACAGATCATTTAGATAACAAAATTTAATATATCATGGATGCTATAACAGGTCTATTTAAATTTGTCAAGAAAATGATCTTAATTCCTATTTCTCTCAGAAGTGAGTATATAATTAATTCTATAGAGAGAACATTTAAATTTTTTTTTTTTTTTTTAGTTACTTGTTATACTTACTCTTAGAAAAACCTGATTTACAATGCTTTTGTTTGCATACATAAATGTTGTAAGCAGCCCAATTCCAAGAGAAATTCCTGTTAGGAAATAAGTTCCAGTTAATTGAAAGAAAAAAAAAATCCAAGAGCTAACACAATGACATGAATTTAAAGGAAACATATGCAATTTTAAAAGCTAACAAAATACAAAGGTTCAAGTAGATTACTAATAGAAATAAAATTAACTGAATTTAGCAATGAAACAATTCAATGTGTTATTATACCCTACCTGTTATATGCTGCATAACAAGTTTGACACCCAGAATCAAAATATATGGAAGACTTTTGTGCAACCACTTGAAGAGATATCGGAATTCTGAGAAGGAGCTACTACCATGATCTCCAGACTCTGTGGCAGTATCATCAGGCTGCCTTGCTTCATTGTAGGAGTGACTCCGTAAGCGACTCTGTATACATCCATGAGTACAGCTATGGACACCTGACCTTATATTTCTGGAGGTTGGATTTTCAGCACATTCTTTAGGTATGGAGTTTATCTGGATATGAATATCTCCAGAATGAAGACAAGAACCTTCTGTCAATCTTGTATGCACACATTGGGTCGCTGAGGCATCTTCACTGCCTGCAGCTCCTGGAGGGCTGTGTAGTTGGCTACAGTTGGCTTGCATGACCCTTGAATACTTTTTCTGTGATCCAGATTTCTTTGCTTCAGGGCTCTATCTCCTAAAAATCAGAGCAGAAAATATTCTAAGTGAACAGTTAAACACAGAGAAAATACTGCTGAATAGGAATCCTTTATTCACTACAGGAGAGGCCAGTAGTCATAGCTGATGAAATTATCTTCAGGTTATCAATCAGTTGTTGCTAGTCCTCCCCCTTCCCTTAATGCCAAGGCTCTGCTGCTATACCCAAACTATTTTTTAGGGAACATATGCTACAAAAATTTAGTTTCAGATGCCCCTTTCTCTAAAGACAAGAGCAAAATAGTCAAAGTATGAGTGCCCAGCAGATGTTAATAATGTACCAATACTCATTCAGACATGAATACATCTGTACATTCACTCTGCTCCACTGGAGCCCCTCTTCATCTTTGATGGAGATTCTGTATATCATAAATTGAGACAGTATTTTTTAATGCTTAGAAAGGCTAGGAAGAAAAAACATCAAATCTTAATGCCTTTTATTTTTATTTATTTCTTTTTTAGAAGATTATATTTATTCATGAGAGACAGAGAGAGAGGCAGGGACACAGAGGGAAAAGCAGGCTCCCCTAGGGGAGCTGATGGGGCACTGAGCCAAAGGCAGGCGCTCAACCACTGAGCCACCCGGGTGCCCCCCTTAATGCCTTTTAAACTATCGTGGAAAACCAATAATAAACATTTCACTTAGGTGACCTACAAATTTCATTTTATGTTGAAATAGCTTTCCCAACGCTTAAAAGATTTATAATAACTACTCCCAAGAGTATTATCCTTCCCCAAGAATGAATGCTACCTAAATAACCTTTAAATAGGGAGACCTGGGGAGTCGCCATGTAATTGCTAGGTAAGTCCTTAGTCTGAGTAAGGATAGTTACATAGTCTGTCCATTAAAAACGCCACCATCTTGGCGGGGAGGGGGGATGGGACGGACAACTAGCAGGGAAGGATCCCTAAATGACCAGTGTGGGCAGCCTTGGAAGATGACAGATTCCCAGCTGACGACGCCCAGAGCCTTATCCCAGTCTGCCGTTTCTATAGGGGGATGCTACGGTTAACTCAGGGTGTGTTCTGTCATTCTAGTTCTTTCCTAAGTCTGGTTTTTTGTTTGTTTTTTCAGTTACTATATGTTGGTGCGGTTTTTAATGCCTTTCACTAAGGCCTTTCACCGATGCTCCGACGCCACAGGTGCTATTTATTCCCTCAAACCTCCGAAGACCAACGTTGGACCGGACAGTTTTCTGTGTCTTTTTAGATAACTAAAAACGTAGAACCTTCCCACTTTCTTCCCAGCACAAACAAGAAAGGGAACGAAAAAAATTACGAAAAGCAAACGCACACAACTCTTCCGGAATCCCCAGGACTGAGTTTTCCACCCACGTTCGAGCCTCGAGTGCCTCAGTTATTTCCGCCCCCCCCTCCCCCCGAGCCCCATTCGCCGCGGCCCCTCGCCTCCGCCCTCTTCCCCCAGGCCTGACCTCTCATGACGAAGAGCGGACGGAGGCCGCGGCAGCGACTGCAGGAACTGCGAGAGACCCCGCCTGGAGGCCTTTAGTCAAGGCCATCACCTTCAAACCCCACTCACTACCAGCAACTCCTGCCGAGCCCGGCGGCGGCGGCGCGCGCGCTCCCCGGACGTCCTCACGCGCGCGTGCGCTGTCCGCCGCGTACCCGCCCCCGCGCAACGCGCTGAGGGACTGGCTGCGCCCCGGGTGCCCCGCGGGCTTGAGGCGGCTTGGGGGCTGTGCCCGAGGACCGTCCGCAGGCGTCTGCATTAAAGGTTAAGCCGCCGTCACCAGTGTGCGTATATACGTGCCATTCGCCCCTCGCCTCAGAGACCTGAACGTTTGGAGGTTAAAAATGTTTCGGCTGCCCTCAGAGGAGAGGCCTGACGTGAGGGGTTGTCTCAGGCCTGCCCTGGCTTGTCCCGCAGGATCCCGGGCGCCTGTCGTGTGGTGGCTGACCCCCACCCTGGTCCCGCTTCGCGCCGGTCCCTTGGGATCTGAGCTAGAAGAGCCACGTCGGCGAGGGCCTCAGCGAGTCTTTGGAAGAGCGGGGCGGAGCGAGAATGTTCGGGCTTTCATAGTCGCGCTTCTCGAGCCTAACCCCTCCCTGACCGAGTTGTGGCTGTGTGGTGAAGTTTTAACTGACATGGCTTTTCGTTATGTTCCTAGCGTTGCACTGAATACGCTAGGCCCTGACAGAACTTGAGAGGAGAAGCAAAGAGAAGTCAGGGTTTGGATGGCGATGGCGATGGACGTAGAAGTTAAATTTAAAAACCTGGTCTTGTGTGGGATATAGGGAACTCTGCTATCTTCACTATAAGTTCTAAAACGAAAAGTTTATTAAGAAAAAGTTTAAAACAAAAGAAACAAAATCCAGCCTCTTGGTGCCCAGCCACAATATATTTTAAACGATGTTAAATGTATTCCATGAATCTCCATTCCACACAACTACCAAAAAGCCTTTTCATTCTGAACTGTAAGCTTATACCTTCAATTTACAGAAATTGACGTCAAGTAAATAACTCAATAGTCTTCCTACAGTCTTGAAATTAAATATTCCGTGCCCTGTGGACTGAATTTACTTGGCAAGGGGTTTTCTTTCATCGCTAGAGACCATAAATTTACACATATACGCAATGAGTTGACTAGTGGAATGAGCGATACTTTGTCTTTTTAATTGGTCACTACCCGATTTAAAACCATTCATAACTTTGCCCAAGTTAGTTTGGTGGTGTGTACTTTCTGAGGCTTCTTAATCATGAAGTTGTTTGTACTTTTATTCTCACTGTACAACTGAGTACACTGTTTAACCTCAGTTATCCACTTTTTTTATTTTGTTTTTTCAGTTATCCACTTTGATGCTATACTTAAGTCAGATTGATTCTGTCACCAAATCACTTCTTTTGGTTAGAGAAGCAGTCTCTAACCCCCACCCCCAATTGGTCTTAGATCTGGTTCTTACTGTTGATTAAGATATTGGGCTTTTTATTTTTTAAAATATTCATAGGTCTCCATGAGTTTGATTAACATTGGTCTTGCTGGCAAATTAGGTTTGTGGGTCAGTAAGGCTGTCTTAGTCCATTTGGGCTGCAAAGCTATACTAGGTAGCTCATAACACATTTATTTCTCACAGTTCGGGAGCCTAAGAAGTCTAACATCAAAGTGCTGGCGGTTTTGGAGACTGGTGAGTACCTGTTTCCTTAAATATCTGTTTCCTGTTCTTGCTGTTGTCTTTCTATGGTGGAAGGGTGGAGGGAATTCTTTGGAATCTCATTCATAAGGGCTTTGCCCTCATGACCTAATCACCTGCCTCCACCTCCTAATCACACTGGGCGTTAGGATTTCAGTGTATGAATTTTGTAGGGGACACAAATATTCGGACTGTAGCAAAGGGCAAGGGCCAGATTAAGGACTGTAGTGAATTTTTCTAGGAGACTTATTTGTGTGTAGATTCTCTCATTCCAACTACAACATGGGTATTTTTATCTTAAAATTTAAAAGGTATGATAATTTAGGGAAACAAAAAAAAAAAGAATCTCATGTAATCTAGCTGTAGCTACAATAGGGCATCAGTTTGTTTTAATGCATTGATAATTTTAGTACATTAGGTACATTTTAAATTTATACACATTTATACATTTATAATTTATACATTTATACACATCACTGTAATGTTGAAATTCTCATTTTAACATGTTCATAACACTGCAGGTATATTAGTGTATATTGAAAGTTTGTTAGTATACTTGGAACTGTATTCAACTCAACTTCACTGAAAAATAACATTTGAAGAAGAGTACTGAGTTGATAAGATTTGACAGTGACAGACTTACCTGATAAATTTTCTTTCCACTAGCATCTAGAATGTAGGAGGTGGGCATTTTAATTGATTAATTCAAATAGCATTTGCTGAGTACTTACTAAGTGTCAAGAATTGTACTAGATGTTGGAGAGGTAGACATTAAAAAAAGAGTTCCTCTCCCACAGTGAAATAAGTGGCTAGACAGGTCTCCAAACAAATAATTGTAGTGTACTGGAATAAACACCATAATTGAAGGTTGTATGAGCAACATAGTGGAAGCAAGAACTAGAGCATTTAACTTTATCAGGAAGGAAAGGAATTGCTTCGTTAAATTTGTGGTATTCGGGATAAATCTTGAAGAATATGTAGAAATTTGCCAGGACACAGCAGGAAATGGACATTCCAGATAGAAACCACATTATGTGGAAAGGCATGGCATTGAAATTCAACGGCCTGTGCTTGCTTTTAAGGCATATACACTAAATTTGGAATGATACAGAAAAGATTAGCATGGCTCCTGCACAAGGATGACACGCAAATTTGTGACATGTTCCATATTTAAAAAGAAAAAGAAATACAATGGCCCTTTGAAGGAATTAGTTTGGATGGCTGAGTGGCTCAGTCTGTTAAGCCTCTGCCTTTGGCCAGGTCATGTCCCATTGGGCTCTTTGCTTAGTGGGGACCCTGCTTCTCCATCTGCCTGCTGCTCCTCCTGCTTGTGTGTGCTCTCTTTCCCTCCAACAAATAAATAAAATCCTTAAAAAAAAAATGAAGGAAAAAAATGAAGGAATTAGTTTTTTGTTTCTGAAAGAGTAGGGAGGATATTAGGGAATAGGGCTAGAAAATGAGAGATTTTGTGTGTCTCATTTAGGAATTTATTCTATAGTTTATTCTAATGGCCAAAGGAAAGCCATTGAGTTTTAAGCAGCAGAGTTTTGTGACAAGATTTGCATTTTCCAGAACATTCACATGCTGATAGCTTACAGTAATACAAACTCAGGAGATTATTACAAATAGTTGAAGTAGGAGATGAAAAGGTCTTGAACTCAGTAAAATGGGATTTATAAGATTAGAGGGGTTATAAGGAGGAGATAAAATCAATAGGATTAAGTGTGATAAATTGTGCAGTTATGCCCCCTATATCCATGCCCTTGGGTAGTCCCCTTCCAGACTGAATAACTCACGTGACTTACTTAGGCCATTACAATAGTTGTAATTTAGTGGAAACTTGAAAAATGTTTGCATATTGGGACTTGCCAACAACCCTTCTGCCACCATGTAATCGTATTAGGCTTTGCCTCCTAGAAGATGAGGAACCACGTCGAGAGAGGCTCCAAGTATCCCAACCATCTCAGCCTTGCCAGTTGAGGCCCCAAATATATGTGTAAGGTCATCCTAGACCATCCAGCCCCAACTAAGAGAATCAGTTTAGAAGAATCAGCTAGTCAACCCACAGAATCACAGGAAATAATAAATACTTCCTTATCAGCCTTCAAATTTGGAGCAGTTTGATTCATAACAAAAGTTAGTTCATACCCTAAGTGACCCAAGTGATGTGGAGTGGGTTAGAAGTCCAAGATGAATCTCTCTTTTGTAGCTTGGGTGGGTAGATAAATCAATTTTGTGAAGTTATGAATATTAGAAAAAGTAAATTGGTGATATTACCAAAGATAATGGGAAAATATATATACATTTTAAGACTTTTTAAAAAGGATTTTTATTTATTTATTCACGAGAGACACAGAGAGAGAGAGGCAAAGACACAGGCAGAAGGAGAAGCAGGCTTCCCACGAGGAACCCGATGTGGCACTTAATCCCGGCCCCTGGGATCATGCTCTAAGCCACCCAGATGTCCCTTAAGACTTTATTTTTAAGTAATTTCTACTCCCAGCATGGAACTCAAACTTACAATCTCAGGACCAAGAGTTAATGTGTGCCACCAACTGAGCCAGCCAGTGCCCTGGAAATAATTTTTTTTTTTTTTTAGATTTTATTTATTTATTCATGAGAGGCACAGAGAGAGAGAGAGAGAAGCAGGCTCCATGCAGGGAGCCCAATGTGGGACTCAATCCAGGGATCCCAGGATCACGCCTTGGGTCAAAGGCAGATGCTCAACCACTGAGCCACCCAGGCGTCCCTGGAAATAAATATTTGTAAAGACCAAGTTTGGAGGGATAATAAATTCAGCTGTGGAAATAGAGTCTTAGGAGTTGAGTTTTTGGGCAGCCCTGGTGGCTCAGCGGTTTAGCACCACCTTCAGCCTGGGGTGTGATTCTGGAGACCTGGAGGTTTCAAAATACAGAATTAATTTCTTTAATGGATATAGGATTATTCAGGTTACATATTTCTACCTAAGTGAGCTTTGGCAATTTGTCTCTATGGATGAACTGGCATAAGGTGTGTGCAATACTCTCTTATATATCTGTAGTGTCTGTGATGATGTCACCCTTTCATTCCTGATTTTGGTAATTTGTGTCTTGTTTGTTTTTCTGTCAGCATGGCTAGAAGTTTATAGATTTCATTGGTATTTTTTTCTTTTTCTTTAAGACTTTATTTATTTCAGAGAGAGAGAGCACAAAGAGGGGGATGGTGAAAGGGAGTAGAAGAACAAAGGGAGAGGGAAGGGGAGAGAATCTCACACAGACTGTGTGCTGAGCGTGGAGCCTGATCCCACAACCTTGAAATCATGACCTGAGCAAAAACTGAGTGGGATACTTAACCAACTGAGCCTCCCAGGCACTCCTTTGGTATTTTCAGTAAAATTTGGTTTCTTTTTCTTTTCTTTTCTTTTTTTTTTTTTTTTTTTGGTATTACTTATTTTTTCTGTTGTTTCCATATTTTTAATTTTACTGTTTTCTGCTCTTATTTATTTCCCTCCTGTTTCCTTTGGATTTAATTTGCTCTTCTTTATGTAGTTTTTAAAGTTGGAAGTTTACTTATTTATTTGTTTATTTATTTTTAAGTAAGCTCCATGCCCAACATGGGGCTTGAATTCATGTCCTGAGATTGAATCTCATGCTCTACTGATTGAGTCAGCCAAGTGCCCCCTTCTTTTTTAATTTTTTTTAAGTTTTATTTATTTATTCATGACAGAGAGAGAGAGAGAGGCGGGCGGGGGGGGGGGGGGCAGAGACACAGGCAGAGGGAAAGGGAGAGAAGCAGACTCCATGCAGGGAGCCTGATGTGGGACTCCATCCCAGATCTCCAGGATCACACCCTAGGGCCGAAGGTGGCGCCAAACTGCTGGGCCACCAGGGCTGCCCCCAAGTGCCCCTTTAAAGGCAGAAGCTTAGACCATTGTTTTGAGAGCTTACTTTTTCTAATAATGGCATGTGATTTTATGCATTTCTCTCTGAGCACTGCTTTGGCTGAGTCTCATACATTTTGATATGTTGTATTTTTATTTGAGCTAAGTTTAGTATTTTTTAACTTCCCTGTGACTTTTTTTTTTTAAGATTTTATTTATTTGAGAGAGACAGCCCAAGCAGGGGGAGTGCAACAGGAAGAGGGGTGTAGTCTGCTGTTGCTGGGTAGAGTGTTCCACAAATATCTTAGGCCAAGTTGGTTGATAGTGTTGTTCAGGTCTTCTCAATCTTTCTGACTTTCTGCTTATTCTATCCATTGCTGAGAGTAACAGTGAAGGCTCCAAGTATAACTATGAATTTGTCTGTTTATCCTTTCAAGTTTGGGCTTCATGTATTTTGAAGATCTGTTTTTAGGTCCATACACAATTAGAATTTTTATGTCTTTTTGGCAGTTTGATCCTTTTAACATTGTATAGTATCCCTCTTTATCCATGGTGATACACAGCAATTCCCACTTCTTTTGACTAGTGTTTTAATGTTATCTTTTACCATCTCTTTCTCCTAATCTATGGGTTGCTTATTTTATTTTAGTTAACTCTTTAAAAAAAACTCAATCTGACAATTTTTGCTTTTAATTGGTGTGTTTAGATCATTTACATTAATGTAATAATTGATGTGATTGGACTTCAGTTAACCTTGTATTGTTTTCTGTTTTTTCCTCTTTTTAATTTTGCTCTTTCACCTTTTCTGCCTTTTTTGGGTTGTTTGGATATTTTTAGTTCTATTATCTATTGGTTTTTTAGTTGTTATCTGTCTTTATAAACACTTTCATATTCTAATTTTTACCTGGTAACTACTGAGCCTAGGCATCCTATCTTTATCCAGTTTTGCTGAGATAGAACTGGCATGTAATCATTATGGTTTGACGTGCATTTAAGACTTTATTTATTCATGAGAGACACACAGAGAAGGCAGAGACATAGGCAGAGGTAGAAGCAGGGTCCCTGCAGGAGGCCTGACTCGGAACTTGATCCCAGGACTCCAGGATCACGACCTGAGCCAAAGGCAGATACTCAACCACTGAGCCACCCTGAAGATACCGTGTTTTTAATAGTTATTTTAAAGACTATGGTATACATCACTAACTTTTCACAGTTTAAGTAAAATGTCAAAATCTTACATCCATATACATGTCTTTTTTTTCCCTCCTGTTGTGTATCATGTTGATTATATTTCTATGTTATTTGAAAACTGCATCAGACGATATTACGGTTTTTGCTTGTAAGTCATACAAATTTTAAAGAACTTTAGTGAAAAAAATAGTCTTTTATATTTATCTACATATTTACATTTCTTTTGCATTTCTTTCATTCCTTAAGTTCTGTTTCCCCCTGGTATCACTTACGTTTGTCTTGAAAAATTTCTGTTCTATTTCTATTAGGGTAAATCTGTTGGCAATATATTCTCTTAGTTTTTCTTATTCTGATAATGTCTTTATTTTACTTTCATAATGAAAGCTATTTTGATTGATAGTTTCTTTCAGCATTTTACAGGTATCTTATTGTTTTTACTCTCTAAGGTTTCTAATGAGAAATCCATAGTCATTTAAGTCTTTGCTCCTCCATATGTTATGTATTATTTTCCTCTAGCTACTCTTAAGATTTTTTTTAATCTTGGTTTCCTGCAGTTTGTTTTGTTTTGTTTTGCTTAATTGAGTTATAATTGACATACAACATATTAGTTTCAGGTGTACAAACAGTGATTCAATATTTGTATATCTAGCAGTTTTATTATGGTATCTTTGGAAGTAGTTTTCTATGAACTTACCCTGTTTGAGATTCATTGAGATTCTTGATTCTCAGCAGATTTGTAAATTTACATCTTTCACCAAACTTGTGGAGTTTTTGGTAATTATTTCTTCAAAAAAGTTTGTGTATTTGCACCAAACTTTTTCTTTTATAATAGGTTGACTAATGGCTACCCAAAGATATCAAGACTTAATCCTAAAAATTAAAATGTTACTTTATTTGGAAAAACAGTCTTTGCTCATATAATTAAGTCATGGATTTTGAGTTAAGGCAATTACCCTGAATTTTTTAAGTGGGCCCTAAATGCCATCACAAGTGTCCTTTATAAGAGAGGCAAAACGAGATAATACAAAGACACTGAGTTGAAAGTAATGTGAAAATGGAGTACAGAGAGAAATGACTATAAGCTAAAAAATGCTGATAGCTGCCAGAAGCTGGAAAAGGGCAAG